CACAGAGGGCAAAATGAGAATTTTAGAATTACGAAATTCTAAAATTAAATACTCGAAAATAATTAATTGAGAATTAATTATTATTTAAATAATGTGATTATTTAAATTTAAATTTGAACACATCTAGATTTATCCATTTAAACTTATTTGATAAGTTGTTCAATTTAGAATTCAAATTAATTTAAGTTTGACTTAAATTGGAATTTAAATTTGAGCCAAAATTGAACTACAGGATAAATGATGATTTTCTCTTCCTTCCCTATCTGCAAATTGGTGCCACACGGGGATGAAAATCCCCTAAGGTGGCGGGCCATAATGGATAAGGATAAGAGGAGATTTTGTTTCAAATTCAAATAGGAGATAATTAACAAGCTTTATCTTAGTGATAGAGATTAGATTCCTTTTTGAAGTTTGACTTCTACTCTTTAAATACGAGGATGATAGAAAATTGTGAACACAATTTTGGAAAACAATTAATGCCCTAAGAGTTAAGGCTGGCCGAAATTCTCAAGAGAGAAAGGAAGGAAAAAAATTTTCTCCAAAAATTTCACATCGTGCATGCGTTGGTGTTTGTGGAAATTCGAGTGTTTATTGTAACCCGTTTTGTCTCATGTGTGCCCACACACACGTCTTCGTGGATTCTAAGAATTGACGTGGAAGACATTGGTTTTCTAAACACAAAGATTGGAGCAAGGACTGTTCGTGGTCAAAGAACTCAAGTTATCATCCGAGTTGGCTTCCAGGTATTTTTCCTGATTGAGTTCTTAATAAATGAATTAATGAGATTAATTTATTCGTGCATAAATTAATATAATCTATAGAGTATCTCAAAAGTTTTATGAAAATTTTTGTTATACACGATCCGCCTCTTCCCCCCACCACCACGCTTCCGCATCCGAATTCGATTCGGAGACCAACAGTAACAAGTCAGAAAGTTTAAATATGTGTGTAAAAAAATTAAAAAAAAAAAATAGTGTCAAAAGACGCACCCAACGAATTAACTGCAGAGGTGTTGCGTAATTTGCTTTTGGTCAAGGGGCACTCATTTTGACAATGCACAAAGAGGTAGGTGTAATTGTAAAAAGCGCTGGAATGAGATTAAAAAAAAGTTCATGAAGCTAAATGAAATTCACAAATATATGATAACACATAATTTTAATACATCACAAAACACATAAGAGACATAAAATACATAATAAGAGCTTCAACATCGTTATATATAATAACTTTATCATCTTCTGAGTGTTCTCCTTAATTCACAATCATTTGTCTTCTTATTCTCTATACAAGTAATATCAACACATTCTTTAGTGGAGTGTAACAAAAAAGAAAAAAAAACTAATAACATTCAAATATAGTTATCTAATCATAAAATTAGGAATCAATAATAACTAGTTATAATCAAGTGCAGTTAAAAAAAAAACATGATTTTTATCTTACCTGTACTTATAAAAAAAATGTTTATAAATAAATATAATTGAAGGCATTAAGGCTTCTTTTACCTTACCCATAACAAGTACAATTCTCTCTCTCTCTCTCTCTCTCTCTCTCTCTCTATATATATATATACCTGTTGTGTGGAAAAATGTGGGTGACATGTGAAACGGCGACAGCGTGACACGTGGCCCTACTTTCCCTCAAAAGGTGGCAACCCTCGACGTCAAGAGTTCGACTACCCTCAACGCTTGGAGTTCACTACCCCTCAACGCTGCAAAGAAAGGCCCAAATTAGGACGTCGACCCTTTGTGCCGTCGAACTTATGCAACAACCTTCAGAAAAGATCAGAAAGGGCATAAGGTCTGCGCGGCACAGACGCCAAGGGGAACGCTCTTCAGAAAGAAGCCTGACATCATAAGTTGCATCTAGGGGTGGGAAACGTCTGCAATACGAGCATTAATTACAAACCCCTAAACCGCCCTGCAATGGGCAGTAAGAGAATACAGGAATCCACAGAGCCGTAATAGAAGACCAATTGACTGAGTGAACAGTCCAAAAGATAATTAGTGGGCTACAGTCTTAGCTTAGAAAGGTAGGCCACTCGAGTACTTCTACCTACGAAGGAAAACCACCCACGAAGGAAGCTTGAGCTATAAAAGGGGCAAACCCCCATACACTAAGGGGATCTCAAAAAAAAAAAAAGAAGGAGAGAATAGGGAGGATACATGCATGTATATTGTAAAGAGTCCAAAAGAAATATATCATACATAAGTGGATGAAGATCTTCATTAACAGAGTGAACCACTATAAATCTCGTGTGTCCTCTCATTTAAATGTTATACTCATGCTTACAAAACACAACAAACACTTCACAACTTGATTTTAAATATACCGTTAATTTCCAGCCGGAAACCAAACGGGATACCAGTGGGTAACCCGGCGTATTTCTGTTGACGAAATTTCACCGTCAACAATTGGCGACTCCACTGGGGACCGAACCCAGAATATCTGGTTCATACGTTTGTTGACATGCCTCTAAGAAGAAGAATCGAGGCCATCAACCAAGGCGGCCAGATGGAAGAAACTGCCGCACATCCGGCAAACGATGGGATGGAAGAAGACCTACCTCCGGTTAGAAATGGAGCCCCACCCCCAGACATACCGCAACCAAACCCTATGCAGATGCATGCCCAGCCCTGACTGACCTGGTGTAGGGACTGATGACTGTAGTTGAGCGCTTGGATGGAAGAAACTCAATGGCACCTCTAGAAGACGCCCCGAGACCGATATAAGCTGCCATAGCTGGAAACCACAACCCCGGTGACCGCCAAGACATCCCAGAAGGAATCGGGGATAGTGAAAATCTTCGAGGTGATCCCAGGCCTTGGTCCTTCCAATCCACCGGCAGTCGTCTAAGGGCCGCTGGACTCTGGGCTCCAGAGAACCAAATAGCCGGAAGCCTGAGAAACCCCGAGGCGCCACCCCAGAACCCAGGCAGAAACCCTCCAGGAGATGCGGGGTCGGTGCAAGTGGGCGGACGGGCAAGAGGCGGACCCAACGTACAAAGGGCCGAGGCGTCGAGAGGAGCTGGTTCAACAATCTCTACGGAGGAGGCACTAGCCATTATGGAGCACATGGCCAACCTAGAGCAAAAGCTCACGGGCGATGTCATCGGCCTAAAGAAAAACATAGGGCGAGTGGCCGAGGTGGTGAATGTCGACATCACACCTAACTAGACGCATGACCACCCGATTACCGAGGAAATTATGGCGCCACATCTCCCCGATAAATACAGGTCACCCTCAATCCCACCATATGACGGCAGAGGGGATCCTGATGATCACCTAGAAATGTACACAGGGTACATGCTCTTGCATGGATATGCCGAGGAGATCATGTGTTGAGCCTTCTGAAACCATCTAACGGACTCTGCCCGGAGATAGTTTCGAACACTAAAACCAAACTCCATCTCAAGCTGGGCCGAGTTGAAGGAAGCATTTTCCCTCTAGTTTATGGGAGTGAAAAAATATGTCCTTCCAAAGTAGAATTTGATGACAATATACCAGAAGCCAAATGAGTCATTAAAAGAATGGCTCGTAAGGTATGGGGAAGTTGTTGCCGCAACAACAGACATAACCGATAGGGAAGCCTTGATGGGGGCATTATCTAGCATGAAGAAAATTACCCCCTTCAAGAGAGAGCTAAACCGGAAGCCTCCGTCTAGTTACAAAGAATTCCTTGCACGAGCGCAATGGTACATCAATGCCGAGGAAGCAGATGCAAACGACCCCGAGCACAGGTCCAACAAAAATAAAGGGACTGAGCAAGGGTCAACGGTTGGAAAGCAGGACGGAAAGAAACGACGAGGCGGAAGCGGAGACAAGCAGTCTGCTTCGGCACCGAAGACTCCAGAAGCTAAGAAACCGAGGCAAGAGGATAACCGCAAGCCTCGACCATTTTAAAGGTATGACTCCTACCATGAATTAACAGTAGGAGTCGAGGAAGTGTTTAATACGGTAGGTTGCGGGAACTTACTGTGCCACCCCGAGCCAATGAGGTCAGATCCGAACCGAAGGAACCAGAAGAAATATTATAGGTTCCACGGTGACGTCGGCCACCACACCAATGATTGCACCGATCTTAAAGATGAAATAGAAAGAGTAATCCGAGAAGGAAGGCTGCAGGAGTACAAGGCTGAGCGAAGACCAAGAAACGAGGGCCACGATAGCCAAAATGACGGTCGACGTCGAGAGGAGAACCAGCAACCAGAGGACCGGGAACCCGTCGGCATCATACGAACCGTCCACGACAGTCCATTTATTGGAGGAGACTCGAGGAGATCTTAAAAAGACTACGCCCACGCAGCCAGAGGGGTGTACCAGGAAAGGTTCTGGAATGTCTCCTTCGTAAAAGCAACTAGGTTCGGCAGTGCTGACGTAGCATTTAATGAGGACGACGCCAACGGGGTTCACTTCCCCCATAATGATGCCTTGGTGGTAGAAGCCGTAATTGGAAATCACACCGTATGCCGAATCCTGGTGGACAATAGAAGCTCGGTAGACCTCCTATACTCCGATTGCCTAGAAAAGATGGGGATCCCAAAGGAGCAATTGAAAAAAATCTCCAAGCCGTTGTACGGTTTCACTGGGGATTCCGTCATCCCTCAGGGGACAATCCGGCTGCCTATAACCGCCGGGAAAAAACCTCGACAGGCCACCATAATGGCCAATTTTATGGTAATAAAGGGATGCTCCCAATACAATGCCGTCATTGGAAGGCCGACTCTTCAGGCATTAAGGGCAGTAACCTCCATCTACCACCAGAAGGTCAAATTCCCTACCCCAAACGGTATAGGGGAAATAAAAAGTAACCAGTACGAGGCTAGGGTTATGTATTATGATGCTTTGCGCGGATATGACCAGCCTGGGAGGTAGGAGTCCAGAGTGGTCTATCAAGGCGCCATTGAGGACATAGACCCCAGGGTCCAAGAGGAGGCCGCATGGTCTCAACTCGTCGAGCAATTAGTGGAGATCTAATTCGACGAGAACGAGCCAACCACAGTGCTCAAAGCAGGTTCTGACTTAACCCCATCACTTAGGGTGGAAGTCGAGAGCTTCCTTAAAAAGAACCTGGATGTCTTCGCCTGGAATCATTCGGATATGGAAGGGATTGACCTAGAAGTCATATGCCATTTTCTGAATATCGACCCCTCATATCCCCCCAAATGCCAGAAGCATCGACCAATGAACCCGGAGAGGTACGCGGCATTGAAAGAAGAGGTCGATAAGTTGATCAACAACGGTTTCGTTAGAGAGGCCCATTACCCTCGATGGGTCTCGAACCCCGTTTTGGTGGTCAAGCCTAACGGGACATGGAGAACATGCGTCGACTTCAGTGATCTTAACAAAGCCTGCCCAAAGGATGGTTTTCCACTTCCTCGAATAGACTAAATGGTCGACACCACTGCAGGGCATGAGATGCTGAGTTTTATGGATGCCTATTCCGGATACAACCAGATCTCCATACATCCGACCGACGAAGAGCACACATCCTTCATAACCGATTGAGGCCTCTACTACTACAAGGTAATGCCTTTTGGCTTAAAAACCGCAGGGGCTACATACCAAAGGCTCGTGAATAAAATGTTTGGTCAACTACTCGATAAATCAATGGAAGTTTACGTCAACGATATGCTTGTAAAAAGTACCAGGGCCACCCAGCACATCGACCATTTGGGGAAAATGTTTTGCATATTGAGAAAATACCACATGAAGTTAAACCCCCTAAAGTGCGCCTTTGGAGTTGGATCAGGGAAATTCCTTGGTTTCATGGTCAGTAACCGGGGGATAGAGGCTAATCCCGAAAAGATAAAAGTCTTGTAGGATATGAGGTCTCCAACCAAACCAAAAGAGGTGCAAAGGTTGAGAGGGTGTGTCGCCGCTCTGAATAGGTTCATATCAAAGGCAACAGATAAATGTGTTCCCTTCTTCGATGTTTTAAAAGGAAGTAAGCATTTTGAATGGACGCCACAATGTGAGGAGGCCTTCCAAAAATTGAAGGAGCACCTAGACAGATCGTCGATTCTATCAAAACCCATCACCGACGAGGAGCTAAGCTTATACCTCTCTGTGTCACAACACGCCGTGAGCTCTGTACTAATAAGAGAGGAAGAAAAGGTCCAGCTGCCAGTCTATTATGTAAGCAAAAGACTCCTAGATGCCGAGTCAAGGTACACTGGAATGGAACAACTAGCCCTCGCTCTGATGGTAGCCTCAAGGAAGCTTCGGCATTACTTGCAATCCCACACAATACAGATTCTTACAAACCACCCGTTAAGGCAGGCGTTGCAAAAGCCTGAAACTTCTGGTCGACTTCTCAAATAGTCGGTAGAGCTAAGCCAGTTCAACATTAAGTATGTACCAAGAGTAGCAATTAAGGGGTAGGCACTGGCAGATTTCCTGGCTGAATTCTCTCATAGACCAACTCCCACCACACACGAAGTCGAGACGACGAAGTGGAGGCTCTACGTAGATGGAGCATCGAGCGAAAATGGGTCAGGAGCCGGCGTCCTGTTGATCAGCCCAGAAGGCCACAAAATTACTTCGGCGGTACGATTTAAATTCAAGGCGTCGAATAATGAAGCCGAGTATGAGGCGCTGATTGTAGGACTACGATTGGCGAATCATTTAAAAGTCAAGAGGCTCGGCATCTTCAGCGACTCTCAACTGGTCGTTGGACAAGTAAATGAGGAATACCAAGCGCGCGGTGAAAAGATGGGTGCGTACTTGAGAAAGGTAAAGGAAGAGCTCGTTAGGTTCAAAAGCTATGAAATACTTCAAATACCACGAGCTAAGAACACCAACGCTGACGCCTTGGCCAAGCTAGCATCATCAAGGGATTCCGACATACTAGGAATTGTTCCTATCGAAGAACTGGAGCGGCCAACAATTGAGGAAAAAATTGAGGCCTTGATCATCCAGATAGACGAGGGCTGGATGACGCCGCTAATCCAATATCTGACAAATGCAAAGCTGGCAAGTGATAAAGACGAGGCCCGACGAATCAGATATAGAGCCGCCAAGTACCTACTATACAATGGTTTGCTTTACCGACGAGGCTATTCCACGCCTTTGCAGCGATGCCTAAACGATGGCAAAGCCTAGAAGGTCCTCCAGGAAATCCATGAAGGAATATGCGGTAACCATACTGGGGGGCAGTCTTTAGCTCTTAAGGTTTTGAGACAGGGGTACAATTGGCCTACGCTAAAAAAAGATGCATTCCAATACGCTCGACGCTGCGAGAAGTGCCAAAAATATGCCACAATTCCTAGAGCACCCCCAGAAAACCTAACCCCAATTCTCAGCCCATGGCCCTTTGCCAAATGGGGAGTCGACCTGATCGGGCCCTTACACCTCGCACCAGGAGGCTTTAAGTTTGCCATCGTCGCAGTAGACTACTACACTAAATGGGCAGAGGCAAAGGCTCTAACAATGACCGCGGAAGCAGTTTGCACCAACTTCATGTGGAACAACATCGTGTGCAGATTTGGGGTCCCACACTTAATAGTATCTGACAATGGGAAACAATTCGATAATGTCTCAACACGAAGGTTCTGCGACACCTTAGGCATCCGAAAAGACTTTTCGGCGCCAATACATCCACAATCCAATGGTCAAGTCGAGGCTGTCAACAAGATATTAAAATATACCCTAAAAAAGAAGCTCGATGATTTAAAGGAAAAATGGGCGGAAGAACTTCGAAAGGTCCTATGGGCATATAGAACGACAAGCCAAACTACCACGGGTGAAACACCCTTCTCCATGATATATGGCGTCGAGGCGGTACTCCCCATAGAAATTGAGACGCCAACTCTACGAACTGTTGTCTACAATGACGACGGAAATATAGACGTCATGAATGGAGAACTCAACCTGTTAGAAGAGAAAAAGCTCGACTCCCAACTACGCCTCGCCGCCTATCAGCAAAGGGCAACACGATATTACAACAAGAAAGTTAAACAAAGAAGGTTCAGCCCAGGAGACCTAGTATTGAAAAGGGTAACATAGAGTACGAAACCCAAAAATACTGGTCTTCTGGACCCAACCTAGGAAGGACCCTACCAAATAAGGGAAGTGTTGCGTCCTGACACTTACATTCTGGAATGCCTCTCCGGCAAGCAAATTCAATATCCGTGGAATGCAGAGCAGCTAAGGCTGTACTACCAATATTGTAAGTAATTTTTTAACGCATCTTAAGTATGTTTTTGGCAATTTAAATAAATTGATGAGTTTGTAGAAATATTGTTCAAAAATAAAAGGAATTCACTCTTTAATAACATGTCTGCTTAAAAAACCAAGGTATATTGAACAGACATGGGGGCAGTAAGGGATCTATGGATCGCTAAGAAACAACGACCCCAAGGGGTAAAGTTAACATCGACTCTTCCAAGGAGGAGAGGTGAACACTTAGAAAATTTCAGTAAGGGATCTACGGATCGCTAAAAAACAACGACCTAAAGGGGTAAAGTTAACGTCGACTCCTCCAAGGAGGAGAGGCGAACACTTAGAAAATTTTACGAAATTTTCTAAAAAGCGACGTCCCCAAGGGGTAAGGTTAACATCGACTCCTCCAAGGCGGAGAGGCAAACACTTAGAAAATTTTACAAAATTTTCTAAAAAGCGACGACCCCAAGGGGTAAATTTAACATCGACTCCTCCAAGGCGGAGAGGCGAACACTTAAGAAATTTTACAAAATTTTCTAAAAATGACGACCCTAAGGGGTAAAATTAACGTCGGCTCCTCCAAGGCAGAGAGGCGAACACTTAGAAAATTTTACGAAATTTTCTAAAAAGCGACGACCCCAAGAGGTAAAGTTAACGTTGACTCCTCCAAGGCGGAGAGGCAAACACTTAGGAAATTTTACAAAATTTTCTAAAAATGACGACCCTAAGTGGTAAAATTAACGTCGGCTCCTCCAAGGAGGAAAGGCGTGGCAAAAACTTAGAAAATTTTACGGAATTTTCTAAGATGACCCCAAGGGGTAAGGAAAGCAATAAACAACTATGAAATCTACTATCTTCAAAAACATAAAATTCAAATATTATATAAAGTGTATCAACATATAACATTACAAAAACAAAAAAAAAAAGGAGAGAGAAATCCTAAGCATTGTCGCCAGCCGCTGAGTCATCACCATCAGGCGGAGAAGAAGTGTCGTCATCAGCAGGAGGAGGAGGAATATAAAGGAAGCTCAAATCCCACTCAGGATGCTCTTGCTTGATCTGATCAAAAATTTGTTGACCAGCAGATTGAAAGTCCTTAGTGCGAATGTCGATGAGCTCCGGAGAAGCCTTAAACTCCTCAATAATCTTTGCACGCTTGGCGTCGAGCATTGTTGAGGCATCGGCTTCAGCTTCTCTCTTCCCTTCAGCTTTTCCCTCAACAAAGCACTTCTTCACAGCCTCCGTAGCTTCAGCCGATTTCTTCTCAGAAGCTTCCGCCTGTTTTGTAAGCTCTTCCACCGCGGCCTTCAGACTGGCCAACTCATTTTCAAGACTCGACAGCTTGGCTAGTTCTCCTTTCAAACTCTCCAGCTTGGCCACAACTACGTCCCTCTCCTCGACGGCATACAAGCACTTTTTATTGGCAGCGTCGAGAAGAGAGTTAAGCTTGGCTTCCAGGCTGTCCATCTCCTTGCCACGTTCCTCAACCTGGACCAGATCAATGAGATTGGGAATAGCAAGGACTAGGCCCTGAGAAAATTGGGGGTCAGAATAAAGATATGAAGAACGACTCTTGAAATGAAAAAAGCACGGTCGAAACTTACATGAATCTGGAAGGAAATCTGCTTGCGTTGACGATCCACCAGAGAAGACTGAGCAGCGGAGATCTAGTGCGGCTCAAGGAATGATTCATACAAAGCCTAGAAGACAAGGGAAAAATGAGGAGGAAGCTTCAGCATGGCCCCAATCTCGGCATCAGAAATATCCGGGACTTGGAAGTTAGAATCCATAATTTTTGCACCCGGCATAATCACGCATTCCTTAGGCGCCGGAGGCATACCAGCAACATCGAGGATCGGAACCGCCGACGTCCAAGTCCCAGTCTCTGGCGCCTTCTCTTTTCGCCTTCTTTTAGGCGCAGGAGCTTCCACCCCTGACCCCAAAGAAACCTCCGCGGTCTTCTTTCTCTTCGGTGCCAGAGAAGAGGTGTTGGCTTTCTCTTTCCAGGTTGCAGGACAGGCTGAGGCTGCTGGTTGCCTGGAAGCTGAATCTTCAAAGAGGCCATTTCTAAGCAAATGACCAGTCAGCATGTAGTCAGCAAGCAGTTATGCCAAATAAGATTAAAGGAAGCGTCGAGCCAAGTCTAGGAGCTTACCTTTGTCGCTTAAATGAAAATATTCCCTGACGGCGAGAAGATCATAAGGGTCTGGAAGGTCGAGAATCAACCCTGCCCCTCTAAGGTTGGACTCATTTAAAAAGGTGTCGATATGGCGAGCCTTCTCCGAGTACAAAAAAGCCTTTTCAACCCTTGCCAATCTATTTCCATAAAGCTTCGGCTGATCGTGGCTAACTGAAGGATAAAAGAACTGTCAGCGTTAAAAAAAAAGGAACGAAGTATCAAATTCTCACCCATATTCCCAAACGAAGTTTGCACCTTCCTACGGCGGGGCAAACGGTCTTCAGGGTGAAAATTAAAAGGCCCCCGAATTAGCGTATCAGCGTTCCAAGCCTAGGCTGGAATCGTCCATGTCCACTCAAAAATACCATCCCTTGCATTTGGCGATGTCGCATAGTCTGTACATAAACATAAATTCATCCAGCGGTAGATCCATATCAAACCGTTGGCTCCAAAAAACCCAGGCGCCGGCAAAACAGTACCAAAAATTCGGCGCCAATTGGGTAGGAGAGATGCCATAAAAATGACAATAGTCTTTAACGAAGGAATGAACTGGCAAAGTCATCCCCCCCGTAACAGCCGGAGTATATACGGGGAGATACCCAGTAGGAGGCATGTTGGTCCTAAAATGTATATTTGGGAGGAGGTACTCAAACCACCTCCCGTCGATACAACCTTCCTTAATAGCCCGAATAATATCTTTATTTCGGACCCTCGACGCCACGACATCAGCCATAAAAAATGGCTTGTCTGGGTCGCCGCTCATAGCAGCCAAGGGGGCATCCACCATTGAAGTGGCAACCTCACTTACGATGCCTCCCGTGAAGGGAATCTTATTTACTTCTTCCTCCAGCACAAGGTTGACGCTGTCGAACTCATCGCCGAAACCCTCGCTAGGTCCGCCCATGTATTCTTCTATTTCACTTAGTATTGAGTTGCCGTCTGATGAAGAAGACGACCATGAGATCTCCGTCATAGAAGAAGAGTCTGGTCACACAACGGACGGGTCCTCTCGACGAGTGGGGTTTAAGGCCATTGTTCTGGTGGTGAAAAAGACAAAGGAGCTAAGTCAAAATCCTAAGTCGAGAGGAAGAGGCAAACGACGACCATACTAAAGCGACGACTGCTCAATTACCACTAGCACCTCTCAAACATAACGTCGACCATTCATACAAAAATGGTGACGGCGAATGTTCATAAACAAACGAGGTTCATTTCAACCCATGAGCCACAATCAGCCAGAAATTAGAAAAACTATCCTATGAGGGTCAGGCAAAGCGAGTGGTAAGGTCTCTATCCCCTACATTCCATATATTAACATATCTATGGTTTCGACAGTGAAAGTCAATAAAGTAAACACAAACGAGCAATCATTAAAAGCTTATCAGTGAGATGGAATCTGGGCAAAAGGCGAGTTCCGAAATAGCTTCACAAAACACTGAGGAGAACAAGGGATGCGAGTAGGAGTCTGCGAGAAAGAACTCAGGCAGAATAACAGAAGTTCAAGAAGTTTGGTAAAAAATGGCTTCGGTTCGAGGGATATTTAAAGGAAAACAAACCCTTTACCCCTAACCGTCAGATTAAGTTTGTAAAATCCAACGACAGGGGTGTCAACCCCAGCTCTGACAGCAACAAACAAAGGCAGGAAGGTGAAAGGACAGGATCAAAGGGCTCATATTCGCTTTTTCAAAAAATGAAGCCTTACGTTAGCCTGGCGAACTGACCGACGCGACGGTTACGTTCCTCGAGGAGAGTCGAAGCGTCAAGGCTATCATTATGAAAGAAGGCTCGGAATTGGGTTCCCACACCCGAGGCACAGAAAGACACCCGAACCTAGCTCGAGGGCTGTCTAAAGGAAACTCTCGACATGGGGGGCAGCTGTTGTGTGGAAAAATATGGGTGACATATGGAACGGCGACAGCGTGACACGTGGCCCTACTTTCTCTCAAAAGGTGGCAACCCTCGACGTCAAGAGTTTGACTACCCTTAACGCTTGGAGTTCACTACCCCTCGACGTTGCAAAGAAAGGCCCAAATTAGGGCGTCGACCCTTTGTGCCATCGAACTTATGCAACAACCTTCGGAAAGATCAGAAAGGGCATAAGGTCTGCGCGGCACAGACGCCAAGGGGAACGCTCTTTAGAAAGAAGCCTGACATCATAAGTTACGTCTAGGGGTGGGAGACGTCTGCAATACGGACATTAATTAGAAACCCTTAAACCGCCCTGCAGTGGGCAGTAAGAGATTACAGGAATCCACAAAGCCGTAATAGAAGACCAATTGACTGAGTGAACAATCGAAAAGGTAATTAGTGGGCTACGGTCTTAGCCTAGAAAGTTAGGCCACTCGAGTACTTCTACCTACGAAGGAAAACCACCCACGAAGGAAGCTTGAGCTATAAAAGGGGCAAGCCCCCATACACTAAGGGGATCTCAAAAAAAAAAAAGAGAGAATATGGAGGATACGTGCATGTATATTGTAAAGAGTCCAAAAGAAATATATCATACATAAATGGATGTAGCTCTTCATTAATAGAGTGAACCACTATAAATCTCGGGTGTCCTCTCATTCAAATGTTATACTCATGCTTACAAAACACAACAAATACTTCACAACTTGATTTCAAATATACCGTTAATCTCCAGCCGGAAACCGAACAGGATACCAGGGGGTAACCTAGCGTATTTCTGTTGACAAAATTTCACCGTTAACAATACCTATAAATGAGTATTCATTAAAAATTCATTCATTAAAAATTCATTCATATATATATATTTATTATTATTAGGAAAAAGATTCAGTGTGCTAGCTTTTCTTTGAAATTGCCCATGCGTTGATTCTGACTGGAAAGCAATCTTTGAAATTGATCATTGGAATCCACGTGGCAACACATGGTTGGTCTGCTCAATTAAGTGGACACGTGTCAAAATCTCGTTAGCTGAAAAAGCGATCTCACGCGGAACACGTTGCAGTGGATCTCGGCGCGATAGCTAGGCCACGTGCCGCGCGCTCGTTGGCGGCATGAGATTTGGTCTTAAAAAAACGATTGAGATCAAAAACTTCTTTAATCGTTAGCTTTTAGGAAGTTTCTCCAGTAGCCCGTCCTACCGGTAGTCCCAATTTTAACCGTTAAATCTGATTAAAATCACACCAGATTAAAAAATATACATAACAGACATTCTAATACATATCTAACTATTCAAAACTGAAAAATAAGAAACTACTGGCAATCTATTTTTGAAAGAACTACCAAAGAAAGTCCCCAGCTTTTATGGCTGCCGCCCTTTTCTAGAACATTTCCTAATCTTAAACCACAATGATCTTGCAAGAAAAACATCACAGCACAAAAAAGGACGGACAATGGTAGAATAACCAAAGTCCATCTTCCTATAGTTATTCACATAATATGATGATGCATGATGATTTATGACCATAACAATGGGCAGAAGAATAATGACATTGTATTCATTGACCGTTGAAAGTTATACACATTAGGCTTGCGCCATTAAAACATCAACTTAAATGCATTACGACAATATTAGACGAAGAATATCTCCAGAATATTTAAAGGACTTCTCAGTCTCTTCCAAACAGTGGTTCTTCTCTTCTCTTGTCCAGTTCTGAAAAAAGATGCGTACAAGTAAGTTCCTAAGATAACCCCCACAACAAGAAAATGTGAAAGCGTACCAAAAAAATAAGAGAATTCTATGATAGGGTAGTTGGCACAATTCTAAACATTAAGATCATCATCAAATTTTGTTAAATTGTCATACTTTTCTTAATCTGATGTGATATGACTGAACGTTCAAAATTGTCACCTACGCAGAATTTTTTATGATAACAATACCTCGGCTACTTTGTTCAGCTTATCTCTCACGTTCTGCAATAGTTGGGAAAGGTCACCATCCCATTTATAGAATTCCAACTCCTTGCCGTTTAATATTTTCTCAGCCACCTGAATTAGTGAAAAAGGATACAAATTAGAAATCTTAATCTACATTGTTAATGTAATCTTTGTTGAAAATTACATAGCCTATAGAATAAAAATAAAAAATAAAAAATAAACAATTTTTTGTCCCATTAACGACTGTCATGATAGAAACAGCACAAGGTCAAAAGATATTTGATGTCACTTGGAATTTGCTATCTACTATATAGAATATACGAGGAGTCAAATAATAACAATAAATAAAGAAACACTTCGCTGATTCATTGGACAGTCCTGCTTCAAATGGTGCCAAAAGAAGGAAAATTTGTGCAATTTGATACAAAATTATTTGCATACCTTCCTCCCTATCATTCGGCCACCGGCGGAATGAGCAAAGTATATGTTGTAGAAGTGGCAAATGAATGCTTGAGGATCCTTGTCTGACAATTCCTTAAGATACTCAGCATAACAATTTCCAGGTTCAGAAGGTTCTGGTATGACATGGCCTTGCTCCTTGAACCACTCCAAATCTTTTGCCAAACTTCCAGACCTTTCCAATCCAGTATTTCCGAACTCAGCATCTATTGAACAACATAACAAGTTATTCAAAACAACAAAACAAAACAAATCAAATCAGCAACATAACAAATTAGAGGTATTTAAGTTTTAACTGTTCAGTTAAGCAAAGCCCAAAATAGCATAAACAAATGACCGTTTAGCCAATGATGGCTTTAATAGCCAAAGCACCAACATTTAGGTAAAGAACTTGCATATACACAATTTCGGAGCAAAAAGAATATCTTGGCACTTGTAACATTGAAGACTTTTGCCACACGGATTATGATACTAGTAATGCTTCTTTTTAACATTAGAGTATCATAATCAAATGATATGCATATATGAACATACAAATATGACGGGATCCTCATCGGCTGGCTCCGAAACATTCCATAGTACATGTCATATAACTCCCTGAAATACTTTTGTAGCCTTAAAATGAATCTCAAGTAAAAATTCTAGTCAAGCCTAACACGGTAATGGACGTTACGTATTTCAAATATATCCCTCAAAAAAAGAAGATTCATGAGAATTTGATATTGTTTATGTTTCCAGATAGAAAACCAAAACAACACAACACCAACCAGCTTTTCATAACGCAGATTTCAATCATGACTTCAAATTTTCAATTTCACTACTAATTAATCATATAAACAATATGCAAAACCGTTTCTTTTTTTTTTTTTTCCACAAAAGCCCAAAACATAAAAACGCACAAACTTTCACTCACAGGAAGGAAAAGCGGCTTTCTCGATGATGCCCTCAAGAGTGTCATAAACAAGCTTACTATCCACAAGAAACCTCAAATAGCCATCAATGGAAGGTTCCCATTTAGCCACAGGCCTCTCCTCAGGCTCCTTCACTTCCTTCTCACCTTCCTTAGCCTGTTCTCTCGTGTGCAATCTCATCGCCACAAACCTCATCTCCTCCACAAACCCCTTCGCCTCGCCCGGGTACCGCTTTTTCGGTTTCTCCGCCGTCGTCGCCGATACGACGCCGTTCTTCCCCGCCGTTTTCACCTTCATGGGCACGCCCGCCAAGTTACGAAAATGACCCTGGAACAGAATTGAGCCTCTCTTCTTGGGCAGGAAATCGGAGGCCAAATTGGGGTGGAATTGAGCTTGTGGGGGTGTTTGGAAACGGGTTTTATTCAGTTGGGAAATTGACGTTAGAGAAGCCATGGCCAAAAGAATGATCAAACTTTTTTTTTGGATGGAGAAAGAGGGTACTAAAGGTATAACAGAGAGAGAGAGAGCGAAGTTCTTTGGCTTGTAACGGCGGTTCAAGTACTCTTGAAGACAAAGGGATAGAAACTAAAACGGATTAGATTAGGATAAAATAATAAATTGCTTAATAATTTGAGAGAGAAAGAGAGAAGGGAAAATTCATTTTATTAATTAATATATGAATAATATAAAAATAAGGAGGATATGGGTTGTGAAGAAAGGGGAGTTGTGTCGATGATTATGGTGGGTGGTCTGCGTATGGGTTTGTCTGTCTTGTGTTTCGCGTCTAATGTATGTGTCTACTGGTAAATCTGTTTCCCCTAGATTTTGGATGGATTGGATTCTCCCGTGTTTTGTGTGCCTTTCTCTCTTACCTATCGTTATTTTGGCGACATTTTTGGGAAATAAAACATAAAACTAATCAAGAGAAATAAAGAGCTCTATGGCAAATTATCCAGAGATTTTAGGATTTCAAAAAAAATCTCGAGATTTTCAGAGAAAAAAAAAAAAACAACGAGTGAAATAGGATAAATGGTAGGTTGATTGATACGTGGGCTGATTTGGTGTTGGACAAAGGCAAGGTCCAAGATAAGCTGGCCCACTGGGTGAATGCTGCAGCCCAACAAGAACAGGCTAAAGCCCAAGTTCACAACCAAGCAATATCAGATGATGAACAACTCAGCAAGGCAGACGTGGAGGAGGAGAAAGATCCAGAAACAAAGGGGAAAGTGAGGCGCGAGATCAGGGTGCGCAAGAGGCCAAGCAGATTCTAGGATTTCGTGATGGATGGAGGTCGTTGAAGCAGTGGCATGGTTACCAAAGTTCTCAACAGCAATTCTGTTATGCTTTGCCAAGAGCATTTAGCTATTTTGTATTTCCGGTTATTATTGTCTATTGTGAGAACTATAAGAAGGATTTACAGTGTAATGGATGATTATGCAATTAATAAAGTTGGTTTTTCTGTGGAGTTTGGCACTGACTCAAAGAGTGCGTTCTTGATCCTGTATCAATTGGTGCTTTCATTTGCTCCTTTGCTCATCATGCGGAACGAAGACATTGTTGAGATCATGAAGGCTATGGAGGCAAACTTCAAACAACACGCCGACGGTCAACTGGAGAAGTTCACCTCTCTTCTTGAGCAACATATGACCACCACTGAGAATCGCCTTTCTCACCTCTCCCAGATCCACTCCGATCGACACTCAGGGGACACCATGATTGGCGCGGCGCCTCCCCTGCCTGGGGGCACTCGGCTTGACTCAGAGGGCTTTCCGCGGGATCTACATTCCATTCTCAAGACTCTGCGTGTGGATGTTCCCCGTTTCGCTGGATCCAACGTCGACAACTGGATCTACAAGATCGACAAGTTTTTCTCCTTGCACGGTGTTGATCCGGCAATGCGACTCGCCGTTGTCGCTTTCCACTTGGACGGCGAACCCTCCACTTGGTATCAATGGATGGAGAAAAATGGCGCTCTCACAGGCTGAGAGATCTTTCTTCACGAACTTCGTAAACGATTCGGTACTTCCATCTATGACGACCCTCTCGGTCGAATCTCCAAATTGACTCAGGGGGGAACGGTCTCTCATTTTCGGGCCGAGTTTGAGGAACTCATGACGCGAATCATGGGAGTTTCGGAGCCTATGTTTTTGAATTTCTTCATTTGGGGATTGAAACAAGAAATCCGCCGTGAGTTGCTGATCGCTCGTCCCTCCTCGTTGGCTGAAGCCATGGCGATGGCCCAACTGTTTGAAGAACGAATCAACGATCTGGTTCACTTCCAGAAACGCGATGGACCCTGTTCTGTGATCGGTGGCGCCCCACGTTCCGGACAACATCCAACACTTCCGGGGCCTCAACCCAGCACACCCTTTGGTGGGAACTCCCTTCAATCTCAACGGGGCGGGAATACTCTTCCGGGATCCTCTCGGATTCCTGTCAGACGCCTCACTCCAGCGGAAGTTCGAGAGAAGCGTGAACAGGGTTTGTGCTTCAGCTGCGACGAGAAATATAACATCAATCACCGCTGCAAAAAGAGAGTGCTTCTCATGTGCGGAGAGGAATGTTCTGAGGAGGGCACCGAGGAGGGCGAGCCTACGGACATTCTCCATGAGTATGAAGAAGTCGAGGTTAGTCTTAATACCCTCTCTAACTCATTGAATCCTCGGATTTTCCGCATTATGGCATCCCATGGGAAGGAGAGGTTGGAAGTATTGATCGACACGGGCAGCAACAACAATTTCATTCAGGAAGCCTTAGTGGGGCGGTTAGGCCTCTCCTGGGCACCCTCTCGTCGGTTCAAGGTGTATATGGGTAATGGCCAATATTTGGTTTGTGACAAACAGTGTGTTGGAGTCGAACTTGACATGCAGGGTCATCGTTTTGTGTTGGATTTATTTGTTTTGCCCATATGGGGATTAGATATAGTACTGGGCATGCAGTGGCTTCGCACGTTGGGGCCTTGTGTACATGATCATGACGCCTTAACTATGGAGTTTCATTGGAATAACAAACAGGTTAAGCTATCCGGCAACACCACCAAACCAACTAGGCAGGTCACTTTTTTGCAATTCCGTGCTATGATTCAGGAAGGGAGCATTCACGGCATTGTTTCGCTGACCACCACACAGCATAGGACAGTTGAACCAGCCGTTTTGGACGTAGATGAGATTTCCAAACTCGAGGCAACGTTACCGACGGTGGCTCAAGGGATCATACGCCGTTACAAAACAGTCTTTGAGGAACCTAGACGACTCCCTCCAATCCGCAATATTGATCATAGGATTCATTTACAACCAGGTACTGCGCCAGTCAATGTGCGCCCGTACAGATACCCGTACTTCCAAAAAGACGTCATGGAGAATATCGTTAAAGAGATGCTAGAGTATGGGTTCATTCGTCATAGTACCAGTCCGTATTCCTCTCCCGTCCTCTTAGTGAAAAAAAAGGATGGTTTGTGGTGATTTTGCGTTGACTACCGCACCCTAAATTCAATCACCATCAAGGACCGCTTCCTTATACCGACCATCGACGAATTACTCGATGAATTGGGGGGCGCTGTGATTTTTTCCAAACTAGACTTGAGGGCAGGTTACCATCAAATTCGGATGGACAGCAGGGATGTACATAAGACCGCCTTCCGCACTCATGACGGCCATTTTGAGTTCGTTGTAATGCCTTTCGGGCTCTCAAATGCCCCGTCTACATTCCAATCTGCAATGAACCAGGTTTTTAAACCATTTTTACGCAAATTTGTGATAGTATTTTTTGATGATATTCTCATCTATAGTAAGAATTCAGAGGAACATGCCCATCATCTGGAGTTGGTGTTACACTGTTTACTAACTAACAGATTTTTTGCAAAAGGGGGCAAGTGTAAATTTTTTCAGGACTCTATCGACTACCTTGGCCATCTGGTTTCTGCCGTGGGGGTTAGGGCTGATCCAGCTAAAGTGGAAGCCATGACCCAATGGCCTTAGCCCCGAAACTTGAAGCAACTACGTGGCTTCTTAGGTTTAACGGGGTACTACAGAAGATTCATCCCGGGGTACGCCACTATTGCAGCCCCACTAACGGAGTTACTTAAGCGCGACAATTTCTCATGGACAGAGAAAACCACGGTAGCCTTTGAAGAGTTGAAACGAGCTATGACACAAACCCCTGTCCTCAGATTACCGGATTTTTCCAGGCCGTTCATCGTGGAGACCGACGCATCTAATGTCAGAATAGGCGGAGTCTTGATGCAAGACGGGCACCCTGTCGCTTTCTTCAGCAAGAAGATTGGGCCTCGGTTAATGGGGGCCTTGGCTTACCAAAGGGAACTTGCAGCTGTAGTGGAGGCTATAGCAAAATGGCGGCAGTATCTCTTAGGCAGACCCTTCATTATACGCACCGACCATAAAAGTTTAAAGGAGCTTTTGACGCAAGTAATTCAAACCCCGGAGCAGCAGTATAGCTTACGAAAATTATTGGGGTTCAATTTTTCGATTGAATACAAGGCTGGGGTTGATAACTCGGCAGCGGATGCATTATCACGTCGGGTGGAAGAGTCTTCATCCGAGGTAAGGGCAGCCCTCTCCTACGGACAGTTTGGGTTCTTGACAGAGCTCCAACAAGAAAATCAGACTTATGCCGACCTCCTCCGTATTCACCAGCAACTTAGGGATGGCGCCTTGGGTAGCACTCACCTTGCTGCGCGAAATGGTCTCCTGTACCACAAGAATCGCCTCTACCTTAGTGTAGATTCTAAGCTTAAATCGCAGGTGATGCAAGAGTTTCATGACACTCCAACGGGCAGACATGCAGGTGAAGAACGTACCTACCTTCGCATCAGTGCTAATTTTTTCTGGCCAGGCATGCGGCGGGACGTGAAGGAATTTGTGAGTCAGTGTGTCACCTGTCAAACGGTGAAATATTCCACAGTCGCCCCTTATGGACTCCTTCAACCCTTGGAGATGCCGGAGAGGGTTTGGGAGGATCTTGCCATGGACTTTATCGTGGGCTTGCCTAACTCCCGGGGAAACACCACGATTCTGGTAGTGGTTGACCGCCTAACCAAATATGCACATTTTGGAGCACTACCAACTAGTTATACGGCTTCCAAAGTGGCAGAATTGTTCTGTGGCATGGTGATCAAATTACATGGCATACCATGCACCATCATCTCGGACAGGGACCCCATTTTCACCAGCCATTTTTGGAAGAAAATTTTTGAACTCATGGGCACATGCCTAAAGATGAGTTCCGCCTACCATCCAGAAACGGATGGTCAAATCGAGGTATTGAACCGTTACTTGGAGCAATATTTACGTGCTTTTGCTGCAGATAATACAAAGCAGTGGAGTATTTTTCTGGGCTGGGCAGAATTTCACTATAACACCAGTCACCAATCCGCTATTGGAATGACGCCTTTTGAGGCTGTGTACGGGCGCCCTCCTCCAACTATCCCAGCATACATACACGGTTCTACCTCCATTCAAGCTGTTGATGACAATCTCCGGACCAGGGACGCCATCTTGCAGCAACTAAAGCAGAACCTGAGTCAGGCTCAGAATCGTATGAGACAAATTGCAAACAAGAAGCGTAGGGACGTTCAATTCAACCTTGGAGAGTTGGTCTTAGTTAAACTGCAACCATATAGGCAAACCACTGTGGCAAGGCGTTTGAACCATAAGATCTGTAGACGCTATTTTGGTCCTTTCCCCATCATTGGACGTGCTGGACCTGTGGCTTATACTCTGGAGCTACCTTCTGACAGTAAAATACATCCCACATTCCATGTTTCCCTATTGAAGCAATTTAAGGGTGACAACTCAGCCACTTGTTTTCCCTTGCCAGAACTCAGCCATGCTAACAAGCCATTAATTCACCCTCTTGTAGTCATAACCGCACGCACAATTCAAGAGCAGGGCAAAATAATTAAGCAAGTGCTTGTTCAGTGGTCTCACAGCCCCTTGGAGGATGCCACTTGGGAGGAG